CTGTACTCAAAACTATCATCGAAATACTTCTCCGAGTACTGGATCTGACCCATCCTCTTACACTCACCAAACGCAAACAGGAGAAACAAAGGTCCCAATTAATTACCAACCAGATTTCTGTCTCTCTGCGAGTGCTTGAGCTTCTTCTAGAATATGTGATCCTCATTATATCTTAAACCGGCCGGTTTTTGTTTGGTTTGGTCAACAATCCAAAAATCCTTCTATCTTGGTAACCGGAGATGTATTGGGCCTTAGATTGTGACACATGACCATGTGTTTTTTACTCTTGTTTTAATCTACTATATAAGACCATCCACATTTGAGATCTCTAAATAAAAAAATATTAAAAACACTCTATTTTTCTTTTACTCAACTTTATACTTTTTTTTCATCTTTTTACTCAATTTTTATTAATTTTATATTTAAACACTCTTTTTTTATTTTGAGAACACTATCTAAAAGTACTACTTTAAGAACACTCTTTCTCCCATGCTCTCAATTTTTATTAATTTTATATTTAAACACTCTAACTTTCATCCATTCTCTCTCCAATTTGTCTTCCCCGAGACATCCTCTCTCCAATAATTCCCACTATCTCATATCTTTACTCAAATTTTATTAATTTTATATTTCAATACACCCCATTATTTCAACCAAAAACACTCTCTTTCTTCCTTTTACTCAACTTTTAATAATTTTATATTTAAAGACACCTACAAAAGTGTCCAATGCGGATGCTCTAACATGTGCGTAGTGGTGTGGTGGTCAATTTTTTTATATTCATCACTTGGGCTTTTTATCTTTGCTAGACTTTGTGGTAAACAAAACAAGAAACTATTCAGTCGTTACGACGAAATCCACGTTTTCACTATCCGGAGTTAAATCTTAGAAAAATATATATATAAGTCATGATGAAATTTCATAGAGTGTCGTCAATGTCTCAAAGTTGAGCCGTGCTTCAATAGGGATTTTGCTCGCGTTTTTTGGTGAATCCAATCGACAAGAGATTTGGTTGTTGAAGCTCGTCAAAATAAGTGTTTGGATTTGTGTTCTTTTGAAAGAGCAAACAAACAAAAAGGCTTTCATTGAAGTTCTTCCAGTTTGATTTTAAAACTCTCTTTTAGATGATTTGATTTTGAAAATCTATTTTTTCGCACAAGCTAACTTCAACTATAGATGAGTAAAAACCACAATGCTGCTTTACTAATAAGAAGAAATAAGAGCTTAACCATGCAGAAGTTCATACAAGTCTAACAAAGAACCATACTTAACATAACATAGAGGTTGTTGTACCAACCCAACCACTAAAATGAGACATAAACTAGAGCCAGAGTGTTTTGAAACCTTGTTTACCAGAGACATAAACCAATATTTGAGGAGAGTTTTTGCATCTACTTAGCAACCACGTTCTGAGCTTGATTCTCCTGCTGGTAATTGAGAGGCCTCCTAAAGAGCATGATGTGTGGCTCAGGACGATGGATTGCATAGTGAACCCATCCACGGCTTTGCTGCACTCCTATCGCACGCCACTCGCTCTGCAAAACAAGATATATCAGGAATTGACGAGCTTTTGTTAAAGACGCTCAAAGAGAATGTGTACACCACCTTACACTCAAACATTGTTGCATTTTCCTGATCTATATAAACAAGTTTATGATCTCAGTTTAGTCATCTTTTAAGAGAAAACATGACCAGGACCTCCCGAGATACAATACCATAACCTCAGAAAACTTGTGTGTGCTCTCAAAATCTCTGGTTTTTTCTCAAATGAAATTGTGCGAAATCACAAGAGTTGAAATGGTGGAACAGCCACGAACATAGTCAGGATAAATCACAAATGCTTCTAGTAGGAGCACAAACACAGTCGCAGAGCAAAGATTCACGATTAAGAAAACTTCAAATCCTAAGCCGAAACTGTCTCTTCCATGGAAATTCCCTAAACGAGAGAAACCCAAGTGATCAAAATTCCGAAATAAACTTACTTCCGAAAGAACGCGATTCTTCGGCAGAAGCTTAGCAACATCGGAAGGAAGCACGACGTGCCTGTAAGGGAACACGAGCCACCCACGATTAGACACTCAAAACTCCATTAAAATGGGACGAGATCCAAACAGAGAATCACCTGTACTCAAAAGTATCGTCGAAGTATTTGTCCGAGTACTGGATCTGACCCATCTCTTTCAAAAACCCAGAAACGTCTGCCTAAAGTGGAGCAATCCGAAACCCTAACAACGAAGAGAAACACGAGAAATCAGAATCGATTGTCTGGAAAACCTAAGCGAAGAATCGAGAAGAAACGCAAACCTTGAGGAAGCAGTGCGATCGGAAATGGAAAATGGATTTTGGGGGAGAAGAAGAGGGAAAGCGCAAGGGAATAATAAAAAGGACTTCAGTGGCAGAGATGTAATTATGAGGATGTCAAGGGGCATTAATCAACGG